TATACTTAGTTTAACCGATTTCGGCTACTAGTTACTGTACTTTAATATCTTGAGTATTCAAGCTTTCAATACAAACTCTCCAAATCTTTCCAAACTATACGATCCCAAATTTAAGAAATAACGATTTACTGTACACACTTCTAAAAATGAGACTGTTATCAATCTCAAAATACAATAAAATACTAAATAATTTACTGTATAAGATAAAAGTAAAAAACCGATAACACTATAAAACAGCCTCATAGGCTCGATACTATTACCACGTCATCTTCAGGACTACACTATCTCGAGATACTGTTTAACCAATAAGAAACTTTCATCTTCCACGTCATCTTCAGGACTACAATATTATGCAAGAATCCGATTTATTCATACCCTTACAAAAAGTCACCAGAATAAAATTTACATATTAAAGAATTTCACACCATCTACTGACAATATTTCCTTCATCATTATTCAATATTTTAAATCTACTTTTTTTTATTTGATTACCTCAATAGATTCACGTATATTAATACTAACGACATTTCAGTTTACGCTAAAATAACTTTTATCCCATTGAATTTCGCGTTTACTTTTATTAATATGTTCTGCTATCAGTGAAATAGTACTATTATTATTTTTAACATTTCTTTTGTGTTCACTCATTCTGTATATTATAAATTTCTTTCCACAACACCATCTCAAGATACTGTTTAAGCAATAAGAAACTTTCCACAACACTATCTCGAGACACTGTTTAACCAATAAGAAACTTTCCACAATACCATCTCGAGATACTGTTTAACCAATAAGAAACTTTCCACAATACCATCTCGAGATACTGTTTAACCAATAAGAAACTTTCCACAACACCATCACGAGATACTGTTTAACCAATAAGAAACTTTCGAAAACACCATCTCGATATACTGTTTAACCGACTTCGCACTAGTTAATGTACTTTAATATCTTGAGTATTCAAGCTTTCGTTCTATGTAAACTTTTTCACTAAACTGTTTCATTAATTGACAAGATAAACCAGGTATAATTGACAGAACCAAACATTCTTTTTGACTTTTTTCAGCGAGTGGTTTTTACTTAATATTTTTATCCTCGTTTTTTGACATCTCTGTCAACAATATCAAGATTTAAACCTCTTTCTACTGTCAACTGTCCAAATCTTTCTAAAATATACGATTCCAAGTGAACTAAGCCTTACTTCCCCAGAGCGACATTCATACATCCCCAACGACCTTCCCACTTCCCTCATGAATCATTTATTCTTATGGAAATGTCAAAACGAACAGCGCATTTTAACGGAACGTTGTCTGAGCACTTGGAAACAGGCAGCAAGTAATTCTCCTCTGTGTACGTGTAATATCCTCGTACAATACAATCAACTGTGCTTCCATGCCAAACGATAGCTCCACCTATAGTCTTGGAACGACCGGTAAAAATAGTGTTGTTGTTTTTTTAACCAATCTCGCCCTCATAAATAAAACCTACGATTCTGTTGAATTAAACATTTTTTTTTTGTTTACACATTACATTTATAACTTCTTTAGCAAGGTGTGTGTGTGTGTGTTTATTAAATATTAGTTTAGCTTGTATAGAATATGAATCCTTTCTTCATTGGTTAAGGTAAACTTCCATTAAACGTTGAAAACAATTTTTACTGCTAACCAGAACCTCACTAATTCAAATATAATCAGATTATGGAGAGAAATATTGTTTTATACATTACACATTCCACTAACAAAAGCTGATATCTGATAACTAAACACCAGGAGGCATAACTCTAGGTACATATTTATCTATGCACGTGTGTATTATGATGCTTATGACGTTCCATTTCCAACTTATGGTAACAAATATCACAACTATATATTTTTCTTCAATCATTGTTGTTTCTGTAAAATAAGAAGTTACTTTAAATTCAGTGGTCTTAACGGAATGTTTTTTTTTAAAGACACAAATGGAAATTGCTTGTTAGAAAACCACCAGTTTTACTCTGTGTTGGTGGTTAAATCCCCGTTAGAAAACTACCGGTTTTACTCTGTGTTGGTGGATTAAATCCCTGTTAAAAAACCACCAGTTTTACTCTGTGTTGGTGGATTAAATCCTTGTTAGAAAACTCACAGTTTTACTCTGTGTTGGTGGATTAAATCCTTGTCAGAAAACCACCAGTTTTACTCTGTGTTGGTGGATTAAATCCTTGTTAGAAAACCACCAGTTTTACTCTGTGTTGGTGGATTAAATCCTTGTTAGAAAACTATCAATTTTACAATCTATTGGTGACTTTT